AAGTTTTTTCAATTAATTTTTCTTGACCATCGGCCAGACGATCAAAGATAACGTTATCAGCACCCTTACAAAATAGTACTATTCCACCACCTAATTTTTCAGGACGGCGAACTATTATACTCATTCTTTTACGTGAAGAATTAAATTCTAAAACATTTAATATATCAAAATTGTGTTCTTCACCAAAAATATCAATAGTCATTGATTCAGGTGTTCGGCCCAAGAAAGCAAATCCAATATTTTTTGTTGCAGAAACTAAAGCTGCTTCGTCTGGAGATTCAGCTTTATATACAAGATCATGTACTAATGTTTTATCAATTGCAACAGGTTTTTTTCCTTTACCTGATATAGGAGCTACTAAACTTGCCATTGATTCGAACCCTTTAAAAGTTGATTTGATATTCGCAATCGAGTGCTTAACTTTTTTTTTTAGATTATGATCTAAAGATGAATTATTTGAAGAAACCTTTTCTTCTATAGGTTGTAAATTATGTTCGCTTGCTTGATCTGAGTTCTCATCGTTTACAGATGTTTTACCTCTGTCGCTAATACTCTTTTCACTGTCAGATTCATTAGTCCTAATTTTATCCACAACTACCGTGTGACATACGGCTAATAATGTGAAAAATTCTCTAACAAGTCGAGCTCTTTTTTGTTTATCTAAATTATCATCAATATCAAATTCATTTTCATTTACATATTCAAAGTTTTTTTCAGCTTTTAAATCCTTATATATATCCGGATCTACGAATGTCAAAAAATCAGGATCTGTACTTGAATATTTTGGATCAAATATACTTTTAAGTTCATGTAAATATTGATTCCAAATTTCATCTCTATCTGTATTAACTTCTTCAGCATTTGATTTATCACCACCTTGTGCTAATTCTTTTCCAATACTAGCATCCGTTTTACCAGCCCAACCATTTCTACCGTATATTTTACCACCAATAGAACATTGACGAAATTCCATTATATTACGTGTTAATGTTCCAGTTTTATCAGAAAATATATACTCAATCTGACCAAGATCATCGGAAAGATTCCACTATTGAATGATCAAAGTTGAAATATATAAATATTTACTAGGTATTAAAAGTCCGAAGGACAATATAAATAATGAACCGCAATAATTAACCAATCAGAATTGAGAATAATAGTAATGTCCTTCGGAGAAAAAAATTATCTACAATAAATAAACAAATTTAATTACTTACTGATTTAGGAACACATGGGATCTCGGCATCTTCATCCCACATATCAAGGTCATTGTAAATAAAAAAAGCCTATTGATCAAAAAAAATTCATTAATAAACTTAAAAAAAAAAAATCATCATTTAATTTTACGAAACATACCTGAAAACCTTTTACAAATTCGATCGAAATATATAAAGAAATTGGAATTATATTTTGAAAAATAATCAGGCCAGATCTACGTAATATATTTTTTTTAAGTTATTATGAAAAATTTTTTTTTTTTAACCCATTAAAAATCAATAGATCAAAAACTTACAAAAAAGTTAAGAAAGATGCAAGCACAATTGATTCTCCTTGATTAGAAGCTACGCGTTCTTCAATGCGTCTACCCTTCGAATTTGCCAAAATTGATGATGATACACCAGTTCCAATAGCACAAATTAAGGCAAGGATAATGAGAATTACAAAATTTAAAATGACCTAATTTTTTTTTTTTTTTTTTTTAATAGGGAAAAAAAAAGAACAACGATCAAACGATGTAATTATAAAGTTATCAAAACAAGAGCAATAAGGATGTAAACCAACCCTTTTCAAATGCTTAAGTATAAACGTACTTCCTGATTCATTTCTTTTTCTATTCTACTTCGTTTACTTGGAGTTTCACCAGAATTAAGTATAATTTTAGTGTCGACACCGGTAAAAACAGTTATAGCGATAACCCATTCGGTATTTCTAATAACATGAGCACGTAATAATAAATTATTTATATCAATTGGAATAGAAGTTTTCGACTTTCTAGGAATTTCTTGATCTTGAGGAGGAGAATTCATCTCATTCAAACTGCCAGAAACTACGGTTAATTTTGCATTATAGTTGAAAAGATTAGAATTCGGACGTTCAGAATCAATCCAAAACATAGCTTGAGTACATTCTTTAGGAGTTTTGATATTTTTTATTGAATCAACAGGAACGCATCTACGAGGTTTAAGATTAGTTTCGCCATCAAGATCTTTTGTTTCTACGAAGCAACCACCATTTTGTTCGGAAGTTGATAAAATTATAGCATCAGCAGGTACAGCATCACCATTCCTTAGAAATAAAAAGTCACCAACACGAACATCTTTCCACATAACTTTTTTAAATTCAGGGTCACCATTTATTTCATTTGAAGGTTCACAATGAGGAGTATCATCATCATTATTATTATTATTATTATTATTATTAAAATTTGAGCCTTCTCGTGGTTTTGATTTTTTTCTTTTAAAAAAAAGTTTTATTCTAAGTAATGTTCTTTTCCATAGAGAAAGTTTTTTTTGATTTGGATAATTTACATTAACAAAATTTTGTAAAAGATAACAAGTAGCACTATTATACTTCTTATCAATTTCATGACGATTTAAATCTTCCACGGCGTCTTTACATGCGGTGAGAAATACAACAGTTGAAATAGGAAGTAAAGTCAAAACAGGGTTATTTGTACTCACAGCAGGTATCATTCCAAGAACAGCCATTATTAAGAAATACATATTAGCAGCTCTCCGGAATTGTTCAAATAAATTTTTTGGTACAAAAGTCCATATATTATATTTAGAAGTAATAATCTTGTTAGAAACATATTTTCCTTTTGGTTGAACTTTATTTTCAGGTATAGGTATATTGGCAAATACTTGACGTTCTTTAGAAGCTGGAAGTCTATATTTTATTTTTGATTTTGTACGTTTTAATTGTTTATTTCGTGAATCGTTAATACCATTTTCACTACTTGTTGCGCTTCTTTCGCTTACTGCTTCTTGTGTCGGAGGCAACGTAAAATTCGTGTTCGGTGAGGTCATTTTAACAATAACAATAAATAATAAAAAAGCGAGAGTGGCTTAAAAGATCTAAAGTAGCTGAAAATAACAGTCGTGCTCTCTAATGCTCCCTAAATTTTTTTGTAGACGAGAGGAGTATGAATAATTACACTTGTAGTACAAGACCAGATTTAGGTATAAACTTACTGCATTTCATTGATTTAGGGGGGGGTTTTCTATATAGAAAGTCGTTTTAAACTAACGTTATTCCTAAACAATGTAATCTAACTTTACTATAAATGAATTATTTCGGAAGTTCTAAAAATAAGTTTTAATCTATATTTATATCAGATATATTAAATACTTAATTTTTTTTTAAAAAAAAAATCATTCATTACCAAAAAGGAATTTCAATATCGATCAAGGAATGAAATTCCTCTTTAGGATTATTCTAAAAATTGAATGCACGAAGCCACGTTATCGAAAAAAAATAAATACGTACTGTACACGCTATACAATGACATATATCATAAATAGCTATATATTACTATATATATATATATTATATATAATAATAATTACCAGGTTAGAAAACAGGATAAAAAAAATAGGTTAGAAAATAGGACATTTGGATGTTAAAGACGGTAAATTGGAATAACGATAATAACTAAAAGAATAATGCTAAATAATGAATTGTATTTAAGAATTTCCTATAAAAAGTAACAAAATATGATCGAATGAATTACTTTTAATTGATTATATAATACTCTAAATACTCTATGCGATAGTAGCATTTACTTAAAAAAGTTACTGGGATATGCTCTAACAGGGGTTAAAACCATTCAACTTCATTAAAATACGAGTTGCTCCAGATCTGCTCTGGATTACTCAAGTTACTATTAACAACTTTATCCAGCATCAGTAGATGCTGGCTCTTTTTTACGAAATTGGCGCCATTAATATCTTTGCAAAGCATTTTAAATACGAATTATCAAATTTACCAAGCTTTTTTATTATTGAACTTTAAAGAAATGCGTAGAGGCTTAGTTAGATACGTCATACTTCATTTTTGCAAACGTAACTTAAACGATTAACGTAAAACGGAATACAGTAATAAAAACCTCCTATATACTGTATATATACATTATATATCGACAAACTGACCAATTCATCAGTATGGAATATGATTTCCCCCTAAAAACTTTTTCCTAATTCTAAAATCGATCCTAATGTGAAAGCATTCGCTATTATACTGTATATAAACCCATAAAAACATAGAATATACAGTATAAGAGATGATAAACACCATAACAAATAACAGGTAAGTACATTTGTAATAACTCTACACTATATAACAGAGTGTATATTTAAATCGTAAACATTTTCGTTAACTTTTATATTTAAGGAGTCTCTCAAATACCCCCTGTAATGCGTTTATCGGAATAAATAATTTTCCCTGGATAATATTACGAAATATATATGCAATGCCGAATATCATTGAAACGATTTTTTTTGCATCAATGTAATATTGATGATATGCACTATATTAATTGATGCAATATATATATATATTCTTTTCAATGCTGCCAAATGGACCATTTCTCCCCTTTATGTTACATCTTTTAATATTTGATTTCGAATTTATTGTGTGATCTCGGTGTGCTACCCACTATTAGTGCATTGTATTACCAAGTGACGCATTATTTAAAAAAAGTTAAGGGTATTACGAATTCGCTATTCCCCACACCATGGGAATGACTAAACCAATATGTATTAATATTAGGTAAGCACATCCACAAAAATTAATTTTTACTGAGAATAAAACAACATAGTTATGGTTAGGGTTAGGGTTAGGAAAATTGTTTTTATTAGTAAAATTTCATGAGGAGTATTTTTAATTAGGCCGCAGAAGGTGGTTTCTCAACTAAAATTTTGAGTTATTTCTATAAAAAAAATGGTTTCGCTTCGATTGTTTACGTTACACCTGATCTTGAAATTTGATTGGTCAAAAATCACGGGAGGAACAAATTTCGTGGGATTATATGAGTGTCGCCAAGCGAAATACAGGTAGGAACGTTGATGTTATACGACTGATTTTCACACGGTGTGCAACATATAAAAAAATAATTTTATAATACCAGATCATTCCGCTAGTACATGTTATGATTATAATCCAACACCATTTTTATTAGTAAAAATGGTGTTGGATTATACTAGCGGAATGATCTGGTATTATAAAATTATTTTTTTATATGTTGCACACCGTGTGAAAAATCAGTCGTATAACATCAACGTTCTTACCTGTACAAGCGAAAACCAGCAATTTCGATTTTTGCCGGCTCCGCTTTCTGATCCGATTCCTGAAAATTTTAAATTAAGCACAACATATATTATATGGTGTGTTAAATCACATTTTTTGGGGGCTTGATCTGTAAAATTAATTTCGGAAAACTCACAATTCCTGGTTTTCGCTTGGCGGCACTCATATATCGAGATATCAGATATATTACGTACGTACGTACAAATTAACCCTAACCCTAATTCTGGCCATGATTTACATACCTATAGCATATGGCGAAAGTTTTTGTTGGGAATGTTTATTAAGTGATATACGTAATGATTTATAAATACAAGCAATTTACAGCCGAGAAAAGCAATTGACCAATTATGAAGATTATAATTACTATGTTGTTTCATAAACGGTTTCATAAGCGGATTATAGTTAAGGCAAACAATTGACCAATCAAACAATTCAATTTTACAGGGAGATCATACAATATCACAAATGATTGGACTAAATTTTATGAATATCATTAATTTTTAATAATCACCAAATCAAAAAAATCCGCCCATACGTATGAGTGGAATAGCACTATTTTGTAAGGGTGCTGATAACGTTATCTTTGATCGTCTGGCCGATGGTCAAGAAAAATTAATTGAAAAAACTT